GTGAAAGGCTTCTGAAATGAAAGGACCTAACTCTTTTAATTCTCACCCTGTTCAAATGACAAAAACAGCAGTAAAAGATACAAGCGAATGGTATCTTTAAATGTAATCAAGTACAAAATAAACACCTTTGTGCTTATATAATACTTCCAAACAAGCAGTGGTTCATTGTTAACTGTAACTTTTCTACATCCTCTCTTACTAGTGCATCAGTTCCAATCTGTTATCATCTGATCCCGCTGTTGGCAAATGGAGAAGTGTTTGGGATGACCACAGAAATCAGTATCCATTTGCTTGATGCTGAGCAGTTTAAGGAAATACTTTGTGGTATTGTAATGGAAGCTGAAGATATGGCGTTCCCACTTCTCCGCAGTATTTCAGAGCACACAAAAACAGATCAGGCTTTTATTGATGCTGATATTATCATTGTTCTTGATGATGTCCTCTTAAACCTTGATGTCCAATCCCTTGAGAACTACATCAGAGAAGTGAGTGAGATCTGCCAAGTGTATGCTCCCTTGATTGAAAAGAACGCCAAGGGTGAGGTCAAAGTCATTTCTTCAGGAAAAACCTTTGCAAACCTTAAGGCGACAATGTTAAGGACATATGGCCCATCCATTAGGCCTGAAAATATCATTGCCATTTCGACATCCTGGGAAAGTGCAGCTAAAGCTATGCTGGCCAGGAAGCTGAATATGAACACAGCAGGTGAATGTTTATGTAGAGTTTGGGGAAGTCAGTGCACCTTCGAGAGTATGTATTTAATTCCAGAACACAGTTGATGTGCATGCAGAAATGCACAGCGGTGCATCCACTAAATTTCTTGGCTGTACAGAATGCCAGAGTCTTTGCTTTTTCTGAGATGCAGCCCTGCCATTCTGGTGTGTATTTCATACTGGAAATATGCTAAGGAAGACAATTGTTTTGCAGATTGGGAACTAGAACTTCAAGATTGCATTTGCACTGTGTAGTGTATTGTTGTTTTGGAGCTGTGAATAAACATGACAACATACTGCTGTGCAGATAATGAGAGTAAAGTAGAACTGTGTTGTAGTATTATTTTGAGGATAATTAACTTTCATTTTCAGGTCAATTGTTATAGCTTCGTTATATTTGCACAGTTCTGCACTGCATAGCAAAAGGGTGCTCTGACAATGTGCTCAGCATCAGGATTCTCTAAGTGTTGCATAGCTAGAACTGGTCATTGATGACAAGTCTAGGTATTTTGGAGCCTAATAAAATAACAAAGCAAGTTATTAGACTGAATAGTCTATCAGCAGGTTATTTGAGAAAATCCTTTTGCACCAAAGCAGGTAGTTTTTTTTTAATGATTGTTTTTACTAGTTATATATTTGTTTTTAGAGGATTTTGAAATGAACGTAGCTATATGTTTGCAATATGATTTGTTACTGTTTTAAGAGTTAAATATTTACTAGATTTTGTCTCTTATTTACAGTAACATGATATAAATTCAAGCTTCTTTTTCAGCTTGTGATGAGGTTTTATATGTTAGGGAGAACTTGGATGCATTTTTCAGATCAAATAATTTCTGCTAGCAAGACAGGGCACAGATTTAAATCATTTTGAAAAGAATTTATGAAGCCCGTTTTTCTGAAAGTATTTGTCTTTTCACTTTCCTTTGTTACAGGAGTTAAAGATGTGATTGTTTGGGGCAATATTACTGGGTCTAACTACATTGATTTGTCACATGCAAAACTTTATGGATATGACTGTGCTATTCGTGGCCCTCCAAATTTTCACCGTCCTTTGTTGAATATGATTTATGATAGGTACAGTACAGATTTATTTCTTTCAAGTAAAATTAAATAACTGCTTTTAATCCATGCTTATCTAAATTGCATAATAAAACATCAAGAAAGGTTTTTGTTGTCAAGATTTGTCTTTACTGATGGGTATTGTGCATAAAGAAAAACACAAGTTGAGGTTCTCCATCTGAAAAAGAAGTTGGGTAGTTCCTAGTGCTGTGCTGTTGCACTCTTTTGCCAACTCTATTTATAACTATATTTTTCCTACATTTTAAGTGGGTTTCTCTTATATCATGAGCAGTTTTTAAGAACTGATGGAAGTCCAGGTAGTGATTTAGATGTCTAGTTTGCATGAAGGAGCTTTGAAATAGTATTAAACAGATATCTGAACCTGAATTACATGGAATAGGCCTGAGCATACTAATATTGTCAGTTTCCCAGAACAGATGATTTGGTAATATATGTGTGAAAATGATACCTAGCAGCTAGATAGCTTCCTGTGGAAAGAACAGTAGCAGAAAAAGGGTAGGTGCAGTGAGAGGGCAGCAGATGTTACATAAACCCAGGCCTGGCTATCTGGAGCTCCTACTCTGGTCTAGACTTAGCATTTACTGGAGAGCAGACATTTCTAGGCTTGTACTGAGCCTCACACAGGCAGACTGGTTCATGGCTGGGTTCTTACAAAAAACAGTAATATATAAATTACATACAAAATATTAAATTACAATAATAATAGATGTTATGACTCCAGCAAATGACCTGACTTTCATAGAAAGTAGGACTTGTTACTTTTTAAGTGGCTTTTTTAGACCTTTTTTTTCTCTGTCTGTAAAAATGCCTTGCTTTTAGCAGTGAAGTTTGAGTAAGTTTTGACTATTTTCTTTCCTTGAGTTTAGTTTTTTTTTCTCCAGGAAGCTACTCTTCCTGCAGTCATCTTAGTTTTTCATGCCTTTTGTCTCCGCTTTTTGTTGGTAGCGAATGGATGCATTCAGAGCTCCTGTCTGCACAGAGTACGCTGCGTTCCCGGGTGTCCCGTTGCACAGGAATGTTACCTGCTCACGCGATTGCCATGCTACTGCAGTACTGGTACCACGGCTCTCCTTCTGAGGAGATCATTTCTCTGGGAGTACTTAGTGAAGGTAAGGCTGGTTTTGCTTCACATGTTCTCTTGTAGATTTGCCCTGCACATACTAGCTTTCCCCCATCTATAATGTTATTTTTTAATCAATATTTTTCATTTAATAAAATCTTGTAAAACAAATCATATGAGACCAAGAGTTTGTTTCATCATAAGAACTTCCAGATCTAACAAAGCTTGTAATAATGCTCACTTTTTACAGGCATCTCTTAGGTTAATATTGTCTTTTTGCAGAGGATTATCTTAGTCTTTCAGTTAAATGCTTTTCTGATGTATGTGTTTTGTGCAATAAGTCTTTATAGTTAGAGCCTAGGCTATGGAAGTGTGTTCTTCTTGTGTGGTTATGTAAACCAATAAGTGGAATATTTCACAGCAGCCATTTAATCCTTATGAAATCAATATTTTTCCCCCTTTTTAAGATGTACAACCAGTACACAATTGTGTTACTACAACACAGAAAAGACACCTATTGAAGATGGTCCAGAGTAGGGCCACACAAAATGATCACTGGGATGAACGCCTCTCTTATGAAAACAGGCTGAGCGAGTTGAGGTTGTTCAGCCTGGAGAAGAAAAGGCTCTGGAGAGACCTTATAGCACCTTCCAGTGCTTAAAAGTTCTTATTAGGAAGATGGGGACAAATGTTTTAGTAGGACCTGTTGCAATAGGACAAGGGGCAGTGGATTTAAAGTGAAGGTGGGTCAATTTAGATCAGATATAATTAAGTTTTTTACAATGAATGTGGTAAGACACTGGAACAGGCTGCCCAGAGGGGTGGGAGACACCTCAGTCTTGGAAACATTCAAGGTCAAGTTGGATGGGGCTCAGATACAGTTGAAGATGTCCCTGCCCATGGCAAGAGTGTTGAACTAGTGACCTTTAAAGGTCCCTTGCAGCCCAAACCCATCTGATGCTATGATGCATTCACATCTAACTAAAGTACAAAGTTACAGTAAAGGGACATTCTTTTTTGAACTGTAGATCGAAAAAGGCAGTGTCCATTTATAATGAGATCTTACAGTTGTAGACTTTTGCAAGTCTGTAGGACTGAAGGATGACACTGGTGAGGATGTAATCAGAAGTAATGTGTTTTGTCATTTCCCCCCCCCCCCCTCCCCCCCCCTTCAGGTCAGTTTTGCATTCCTGAAGGAATTGTCTTCTCTATGCCAGTGAGGTTCCGGAATGGTAACTGGGAAGTCGTGACAGAATTAGAAATTAATGAAACGACCCAAAAAGTTCTGGGACGCATATCCCACGAGCTGGTTCAGGTGAGGGTTTCTTGAGTCTCGTGTATGCCCATCCTGCCACCTACGGGCACGCTGTGATACAGCTTTGAGCACAGACCTTTAAGTGTTGGATGTACAAACTACACACATACACTTATGCATGGTAAAGAGCAGGTATTTTTAAGTGTAAGGTAGTATTTGTGTATTGAAATGAACAGACAACTGTTCTTCTGCCCAAAAGGAGAGGATAAAATAAGTTTACGTATGTATGTGTAGAATTTGCTCTCCAAAGTTTGTGCAAACAGAAATACTGCCTTTCATTTAATGTTTCTGCATTTTATGTTGATTTTGCTTATATGGTATTCAGAGTATTTCTATGATAGAAGACATATATTTTGGCATTTTTATGACTATGACTTTGCATGAATGAAGGTCAGACCTTACTAGAATTAGGGATTTTTCAGAAAATACAAAATCATTGAGCACTATTTTCATAATGAAGTTCTTAGTTCTTTTTGTCTCTTAGTGAGACAAAAAGAATTTATTTGTACTATTGAAATATTTAAAAAGACTGGTTCCAAACTCTACATCCCAGCTTTAATCAGGTTTTGTGAACTTCAGTCATACTAGTAATGTATAAGAATTATTTTGTTTTAACATACTTTAAGTTTGCGCTAGAAATTAGAGCTGATTAAAATAATGGGTGGTATTAAAATATGCTTTTTCTTCCATTTAGGAAAAGCTCGTTGCACTAAAGGAAATAAATGAAATGCATCCATATGAAGCAGAATAAAAACTCCACATCTTCTCCCAAGTGTTTCTCTGCTGCTTTTCCTGTTATTTTGCTTTTCAAGTTCTGTCCTCATTCATAAAAATAAGAACAGATGAACACTAAAGCATATTTTAGTTTTGTTTTTTCACCTTTTCTCTATTTTCTCTATTGTGAAATTCCTGCATTTTTCCAATGTTCTCACCATTTCTTTCTAATTTTCATTCCTACAGACCTTTTCCCTAATTTGTTTTATTTCTCACTTCCTTCAAATCTTTCCAGTACTTTTATATCAGCCTATTCTTGACTATGAGCTGTTGTTTGCCGTTAAGGATGGGCTGAAGAATGGGGAAACTATTCAGAGTTAGATGCCCAGTACCTCTACTGAGCACAAAGCCTTTTGGTTATTCTTGCTTGTTTTTTGAGAAAGGATTAAAGACACAGTAAGATATTCTTGATGGATGCAGAATTTAATTATTTGGCTAACCATGACCTTGTTTAAACCAGACAGGGAATTCCCAATTAGGTAAGAGTGTCCTTCCCTTCTGCTCTCTACAGTATGGCACTGCTGTTCCGTTCCTCTTGTGTCAGCCTTAAATGTAAGCAGAGGCCTTCCCACTGCTATCAGCAATCTGCTTAGTTGTGGCCTTCTCTTGTGACATCAGTGTCAGGTTACCAAGTATTCCCAAAGTGCCCTGCATTATCTCCTTGTATGTGGAAGTATTTTAGGAGGTTAGCTAAAATAGCTCATGTTTTGCTTTTTTTCACCAAAATTGAAACCTTGCCTACTGGGTCAATTTAGCTAGAGCTGTCTGGAGGAGAAAATGCTGGAAATTCCCATATTAAATAAGCTTTCCATTGCCTAAAAGAGCAAACTAGAAAGAAAGTCTAAGCATTGCTGTAGCTTTTGCAGTATTTTCCTCATTAAAAAAACTCTGGTAAGTCTCTAGGTGGAAAAAAATTTCAAAACCAGTGTGAATGTAACGTTTTTAACTTGTAGAACAAAGTAAAATTTCTACTGATTTTAATGAGTCTAAGATTTCATTTGCATGTAACCACTTATTTCTTCAGACCAATAAACTATTGGAAAAACATAATTTAATGCCTAAAATGTTCATATGAAAATTTTGAGGACTGTCACATACAGAGTAGAAGTTTTGTAAATCCAAGGGTCTTTTTTCAGAAGTACTGAACCACAGTATTTTTGTAATAAAGTATCTTCCTAGGTAAAATTAATTTTTAACATATAAAGATGTTTATACATCTCCTTAGTGACAAGTTCATCTTTATTTCCAGGTTTTTCTTATTTATGTAATGAGTTTCAAGAGAATACTCGTGTTTTAAGTCAAACCTAATTAAATTCTTATTTAGACAGAATTGTTGAGGAACCACTTTTACTTGCATCTTTGGTGTCTTAAATGATGGCAATTGTGTTAATGACATGTTCCTGTATTTGCTAATTTTTTATCAGATATGTTTAAAACAAAATAGAAAGCTTTCTGTTCTTTGAATCAGTTACATGTAGTTGCAATAAATTCATTATTTCTGTTCAAATGGAGGTTCAAGCTCTGAATAGGGGTAGACTTCTTATATGAGGAAACCAAGAGAAGTTACTGGCTGATTAGGACAGGACTGGGAGGGATGTCTCGCTGGTCTTAGAAAGAGGAGCTCAGAAAGCTGGGGTATCACAAGGGATCTGGAAGTGTGGGGTTCTATGTAAAGTGTATATGGGAGAAGCAACATTTAGAGGAACTAAGATATTATTATAAGTGTATTCATGGAAGAGTTCACATGGAAATTGTAGAGGTAGGGGTTGTAAAAAGTCTTGAAGAGAGGGGTTAGGAACCATTTGTTTCATGAGAAGTGGTCTCCAGGGAATTAGTTTCCAGTAGTGTATACACAGAAGATTGGCTGAGTTTCTGAGGAGCATCTGGAGGCATATGTCCCAGGAGAAATTAGCAGGGAGGGACACTACCAGTAGTCTCTACAAACTACCTGTTTTTTCTATGATTCCTTTTCCAAGATAGAAAAGTTAGCTTCTCTAATGTGTATTTACATTTGGGCTTTTTCTATATGAATAGGCTTTAGCAATCTTACTCTTTGAATTCTTTTATTCTGCCTGTGGTGATAGTTCAAACAAACTGCAGTTCAAGCACCAGCACTGCACAGCTGTTAATGAGAGGGAAAATAACTCTTCCTACAATATATAAGTAGACTTATCTGACTTCTGAGTCACCAGCTGAAAACCTCTCTTCTCAGAAGCTGGGAGCAGAAAGAAAAAGCTGCTTGGAATGTCTCATGTAGCCTAAATTATTCTAACTGGATTTGTCTTGTGGTGTACAGGGTAATTCTGGTCTTTCCTCATCGAAGCATAAATGAATGGAAAAACTTTTTTTTCCTAGCTTTTGTTTAGGAGAAAAAGAAAGGAAAAAATATTAGAAAAGTTAAAATATGGTAACATATTCAAAGCTGGTTACAGATGTAAAACAGCAATTGACTTATTCATCAGTAAATTTGGGGTTTGTATAAGCTATAAGGAATTTCTGGGACACATTTTTTCACAAGGTTCTAAGGCATGTTATGTATGCAGGATATTCACGTTATTGATGACTCCTATGACTCCTGTTATGGTAACTGTTGAAAAATTTATGAAAAAGAGCTTTCAGTTGTATGTGTCTTACAAATGTTATATATAGATTCCTCATAAACCCTAACCTTTGGGTGTACTGAAGCGCTTTGTGGTTGGTCTGAACAATTCTTGTTCTAGGACATTACCACTAGGGCTTACTATGTTTCTTCTTTGTATAGTTGTCCCAACTCTTTGTTACAGCACACTGTGCTTTCTATATTACTGTGTCAGTTTCTACCTCATTTTCAGTCTCTATAGCAACAGTTTCTCAGCAACTGGGAGATGCTTAGTAAAGGCCTCTCAATTTAGAAACATTGCACTCCAACTAAAAAAAAAAAAGCTTTGAAACAAGGATCAAAGAAGTTTTATCTTTAATAATTCAGGATATTTATTACTAATTAATTAGTGTTCTCTGTTTTGACTGCTTAGACAATTACCTGATACTTTGATCTAGGCCTTCGCTAGGCATTTGTTGTGAGCAGCTTTAATTTAAAAGTGAAACCTTTAGAACTGTGTCTTGAAGTCAACTTTTAAGTGCTGTAAAACTACTGGACTTCTCTGGCGGTATCATCTGACTTCTGGACCTTCAGTAAGTAATGACAGGAAGGTAAGCGCAGCTGCTGTATTTAGAAGAGACAATAATTTTGGCATTTGAATAAAACATAAAATGTCTTCACCCTTCACAGGAAACAAAAGTAATTGTAGGTTCTTTTATGCATATCTAAGATGTTGATCATATGTTGTCTGATTTCAAAAGAAAAGTCTCTGTGATCAAAAAGATTGATCTGCTGGGAGGTTTCTGCCTTACTTCATGTGGCTCGTCTTTCTCTGTACTTTAATTTAATTATGTAGTATGTTTCAAAATGCATTTTATTTGCTAAAGTACATATTCTGAGAACCTGTACATCAAACAAAGTACATATAAGTAATCAAGTGTTACTTTTCTTTCACATTCCACTTAGAGTCAAGAAAAAAGCTATCCTTGTTCTGCACAAAAGAGTATTCATTTTAATGGGCCAGGACTTTTAACTGTAACAATTTATTTCCTGAACATTTGTACATAATTTTAATTTTTTAATTTGTTTTCTTAAATGTTTTTCACTATTAAAGCACAAAAGGAACTGAAATATAACAGGCTGAAATGGTGTATCAATGGGCAAAGTTACTTCAGATTATATGGGCACCAGATACTGTTTCTGCTTTCACATTGTGTTCATGTGCTAACACTAAAGTAGATTCTCTTTGTTTCACCCACACAGTCAAGATCTGGACTGTCCACAGAGTTTTGTATATGAAAATGTAGACTGTACATACATTAATAATGTCTTCTGTAACTTTTTAGAAGGAGGGTTTATAGATATGATATTGTACAATAATAGCCAGTTTGGTAAAACACAGAAACACATGGTTGACTTTGAGACTATGAATACCCTAGTACAAGACTATAGAGTGTTTTTCCATATGGGTAATTTAAATGTTAGACATTGTGTTTTACTGGACAGAGATCTGGTCATCTTATACTAAGTATCAAGCACTCATAGATTATGCATGCTATATAACTCATTAAGTCAGTGGATGTGTTCTTATTTGAGCAAGCAAATTCTAATGAGTTCTAATTTAAGTGAGTTTAACCTGGATATTTTTACATTCATCCCATCCACTTTCTTTATTTTATGTACCTCTGGTACAGAGAAAATAAAGGAGGCAAGCTGTGTATTTCTAAGTCTACCTTCTAGACTGCTACATGTAGCTTTCACCAAACACTTATGTTTAATTCATTGCTCTGTGTCTTCTTTCACTGATTTCTGTACATGAACTTTTCTGTCAAGTTATGCAGAGGCTCCTACTACTGCAGCTATTTTAGGAACAGTTGTATCATATTTTCATATATATTGCATATGAATATATATCTGTAGGCAAACTTATGTGCCTGTATAAATGCTGGGCAGAGCTGTAGTTTTGCAGTAAATAACTCTTAGTAAGAAAGAAAATAGAATAGTGGAAAAGAAACACAGTGGTATTTTTTTCAAAGAAGGACTACAGTGAAAACTGTGGCATTATAGTCTTGAATGAAAAAGACTATTAAAACAAATTAAAGCAAATCTGTATCTCAGTATTTTAAGTATCTAAACTTAGGTAATGACTGAAATCTAGGGACTGAAACACAACGTTGCAGCTTTCACCAGTTAAAATGGTGAGGAGAATATTTATGGTAGACTCAATAATTTTAGATCATTGAATATGCTTCATAAATGGCCAGTATTCTGTCATGTTTATGAAAAATGATCAATGATTCGAACTCAAAAAATGTAAGAAGTGACCATTTGTTTAAATTCAGATTTAACACCATATTTATTATTTAAGTTTTAAATCATTTACAACTATTTAATTTTTATTTATTTTAGCAAACTTTCCCTTTGCTCTGCACAGTAAGCCATATAGATGGCCTTTGGAATCTTGTGTGACTTAGATCCATTACACCTAGTGTTTCTCAACTGCTGTGTTAGCTGAAAGATAGTTACTACAGGTAATTAATATTTTTATTTCTGTGATTGAAAATATAATGCAGTTTTAGAGCATTAGTGAAATAAATCCTGAGGGGAGGCATTCAGTTTCCATTATTACAGGGACATAACTACTTTTGCTTTCATGGTTATTGATGTAAGTAGGTTCATGGTTAAGCTTCCTTTTCCCTTTCCATATCAGCTCAATAAAAACCAATGACAACTCAGCCTAAAACTTTAGTTTCGCTTGAAAATTTTAGAAAATACTTTTGAATAATTGCAATCAGTGAATCTGAGGAAGAGTCTGGTGTAGATATGCCCTCTGTGACCTGAAATTGTACACTATGGACCATGTAGTAATACAGCATGTAAACACTGGGCTCTTAATAGTGAAAGATCTTACTTCCTCTACTTAAAACTGTTTTGAGGATTGGTTTTGCCCTGCTACATCTTTGCAGTTACTTGAATTACTCCTATTTTATGCTGAGCAGAGAGCTTGCCATTTGCTGGCATTTCTCTGCACGTGGCACCAAAACTATTTTGTTTAATGTAATTCTGTTTAAATTAATTTCTGAAATGCATCCAGTGAATTGTTCAGATTAAAAGGTTTAATTTGAATGGTTCAATATGTCTCTGTCTAGAATATGTGGTTTTACACTTTGGTTTGTTTTGTTATAGAATGCCTTATGCCATCTGTTAATTTCAAATGGATCCAGACTTGCAGGGTAAGGATTTTTCTTATTTTTTCCCAACTTTTCTCAAAAGGCATTTTTGTGTCTTTTCAAACAGAAACTACTGAATTTTAATGAAATCATATCACTTTGAGAATCTCTGTGCTGTAGCACATAAATGGCAAATTACACAGGTGTGATGTCCTGCCTTTATTGTTGGATCTGTCCAGGCACCTTCCTTGCCACTATCACACTGGGTTATGGAATGGTCAGGCACACTGGGCTGTGATCCCTAATTTATAATAAATGCTAAGGTTTTTTCCATACTTTGGAATAGGCATGAAGATGGCCATACACTCCCTTTTTGAGTGCAAAATCTCAGCGGACACCTCATCTGCCACAGAGCAAATACCTCAAAATACAGAATAGCAGGTAACCACTGAAGATGTCAGGAATCAGCACACTTCTATCTGTGTAGGAACTCCTTTGTCAGCTTCTTAACAAAGGGCATTTATATTTCTTGGGGTGACATTTGACCCAGGGCAGAATGATTACATGATGGTTTTCTATCCAGAGGGGAAGCCCCCTTCCTATGAGAAATAAAGATTTTCATGTCCCTAAATAGCCTCTCATCAGTAATAATTATAAAATGATTTGCTATTTTACTTATGTGTCCTCGCAAGTTAATTCTGGAACTGTGCCTGACAGGCACAGAATGCCCTACTTTGAGGGCCACATTTTGTTTGTAAGGGTGGACTAGAATTAAGTAGCAGATGGCTACTAAAACAGATTCCCTTCAATTTGAAAATCATCTTGTGCATGGAAGGTGTTTGAGTTGAATCATGTGTATATTTCTAGCATTTGTATTTGAGAATAAGCATTTGGAACTTAATCCATAGCCGAATGAAAACTGTGGGAGTTGTTCTGTTGCTTTCAAAAGGGCTTTGGATCAGTTTATTGAGGAAAGAGAACTGATGATGCGTGGAAGTCAAAACTAATTTTTCACATTGTATGATATGCTACACTGCATCTCCAAATAATATCACAAAACATAGTACGACAAGAGCAGGACTAAACAGATGGTATAGCAGTTATTGGCATCTTTCTATAGCTTAGGCAGCATCTGGGAACCAGAAGAGCCCATAATTTTCTGACTATTAATATTAATCTGGTGTATTTCTTGGAAAGCATTGCACACAGATTGGCTTCTTTCCAGACTGAACAGGTGAAGTGTTTTGTGAGTTATTTCTACTCATTTATACATATTTATTGCTTATCTTTAACCTTAATCAACTATGTGTAACCCTCTCTGAAGTGCAGGGAGAAAATAGTCTCTGAGGACAGAAGGACAACTGATAAATCCTTTTCTAGTTTCTGAAGTTTAGTGAACAAGCTTTCGTTTTTGATGTTGAAGTTCTAGGTATATGTAATGTATCGGGTATAGGTCACAGTCAGCATCACTTACTTTCCACTCAGAAAAACATCCTTTATTGATGTGAAAGAAATAAGCTGAAATCGTATAAGGGTATGAGATTTGAGATTTAGTAAAGCAGATTGAGTGGGTTTGCTAAACAGAGATGTCAAAAATAATTTGCTCTGGTAAAGGGCTTGTCTTCTTCTGCAAGAGTCCCACATGTTGATCTTGAAAGATTTGTTTGGTGCTTGAAATAAATGGCATCCAAAATAATAACCCTGCTGTGCAAACTGACAAACTGTCCCTTGAAGAAGAGCATCTCTGATCAAAAAACTTATTTGCATGAAGAAATATTATTTCATTATGATCTTGGCTAAAAGTTTGTACAATGCATAATCCTCATCGGCCTTGTTCTAATATATGAATAAACTTGATTCCCAAAGAAAAGATGTGCTCTCTATGTTAAATACTGATTTTACAAGAGATCGTGTCATTGTTTACAAGAAGACTGTTCACCCCACAAAGTTATTTAGAAAAAAAAAGAAAATGTTATCTTTTTGTTTTCTTTTTTTTTTACCCAAAATTTTCTTTCAGAGTGTTGATCAACTCGAAACTCCAAATTTGGTTGTTTTGATTTTTAGTTAGTTTTGAATGAACCACTCTATTGTAACGTGTGTTTGTTTTCTTTCACAGAGGCCTTCAGTGATGTTGAGAGCTCCGTATACAGAACAGCCCTAAAACTACGCTCAGTACAAAGGCTTTGCCAGTGTTAGTAGCCAAAGAGAATCCTATGCTTTTACAGGGAGGAGAGTCTCTATAAAATCTGCATTGCTGTCACCATGAGTTATTATGCTACTTTGCTCTCTCATTTTCCACCTTGGAGTTTCAGAATGGATTATGAACACTTAAGATCTAGATAGTGTTTCATATACAAATTGATTTTTTTTTCCTTTTGAATGTCAATGGAAATACATTAGTGAAATTCTAAAATTATGACAGAATCAAATTATTTTTACAGTCTGCAACACTGCTATGTAGACATCATTGACAATTATTGATATTTTTCTGTGTATTATGCTCATGAAAAGTCAAATTCTAATGTGTTTCTTAGGAGCTGATTTATTGGAAATAATCATGGCTTATTGAAAATGTATTGACTGGACTATAAGAATTAATGAGAGCAAAATAGAATATGATAAACAAGAAAACTCCTGGTTAGTATTCATTCTCCTTGTCTTTGAAGTGAGGGAGAAATCAGTGCAAGCAGAGAGTTATGCAACACTAGTCACCTAGCTCACTTTGAAATTACTGGATGTAAATTCCATATTGAGCTAAATTTCATGGAAATCTTGAATTTTCTATTTGAAATGGTCTGTTGCTAAGAATGCACAGTATTGCAAGTGAGCTCTTCAGGGTAGCACAGAGAAAGTGACTAGTTTGTTGACCTTGGACATATTTCTTTAATTTGGGGATGCTCTTCTATGAATATATTTAGTCTGGTCTCAGCCCTGATATGGTTTATCTGCCTGATGCTATGTGTCAATGTGGAAGTACCACAGGTACTGGTTTTCTTTTTATGTGGTGTACTGTTTTAGGCTTCATTTTACAGACATGTCTTAGCTAAGCATTTCTGATAAAAAATAGTCATGCTTCCCATTCATGAAAAGGCAGGGATCCTCATTCATTTCTTCCTTAATTTTCTCACAGTGGATTTGATTGATGTTTGTCTGATTCAGCACATCATATCAAGTGAACAAAGGCAGAGAGAAGAGCAGATTTCTCTGAACATGCAGCAAATCTCTAGAATGCTGATGAAACTGTTCCAAAGAGCAAGATTAGAAAAACCAGGCCAGGTAGATCCAAGAGCTGCTGAATTCACTTTGGGCCTACTGATTGCCATGTATGACAGGTGAGAAGAAGAAACGTAGATCCATTGTGAAGTACCGTAGAGTCAAAGAATTTGTTTTTGGACAGGACCTTAAAGATCATATAGCTCCCACCCAAAGTATTGCTAGACTAAGTCTGTTTCTACCACTCACACCATTTCTGTGTGAGTGGTAGAATCAATTTATTTTGATTGGTTTTGCTTTGTATAAAAACTAGGAGTAGTTCAGCTGTAGGAATATAATTCTCAAAACTGCATCAGAAACATAGTGCTCAAGTGTTCCCAAAACTATTTGGAAACCCAGACTTTTGCCAGTCCATGCTGACTTTTTCTCTGAAAAGCTTTACAGAGTAGCTCTTCTTCTGACTTCTGAGATATTTTGATACACTCCTAAAAATGAATCCATATTTGACTCGGGAGAATAGTACCCATGCACAGGTCAGGAATTTGCCAGTCACTTTTTGTTATTCAATTTCCTCAGGCTTAAAAAGTTCATCTACCAATTATGAAACAAAATTGATGAGCAGTTGAGCAGCTTTGTGAATAGTGAAGTTTCTGAACATAATAAGGAAACACCTCTCAGAATGTATTTTTCTTATATATTGTTTTTAAATAATGAGTTTATTCACTAAAGGCAGGATTGGTTTGTGATTGTATCAGATTTAAAAGACAAAGACTAAGTTCATTGTACAAGTTATTTGCCACAGGTGAAATTTTTCCCTTCTATATCATAGCAAAGTTTTTACTGAAAGTAAATGAGATAAGTGGTCTGCAGGACTTTTAATCAAATCATTATTCATTACTCATATGATCACTACTGCATAAGGTCCCACTTTATAATTTTTTTTGGTAAAAAATCAGTTAAGGCTTAGAATAAATTCTGTATTAAGAAACAAAGCTAGAAACATCAAGAGTACCTTGTAATTTTTGTGTGCTGTAGGGAAATTATTTAGAAGAATCTTCTTAACAGTACTATCTTTGTCTTTTAGTCTGTTTTCTTAGGACTGTTTTAGGAGTGTCATTTTCTTTTTGATGCTATTTCTTTTTTAAAAATTATTTCACAAGTTTCTCGACATGTATATATGATAGAAAAAGCTTTGTATAATTTTCTAATAGTATTTTCTCTATAGAATGTTATTCTCCACTATTAACACTAGGAGCACATAGGAATTTTCTATGGTTTTGTGGTATTTACTTAATAAATTTACATAAATATCTGAAGGGTGTTTGACTGTGTACTTTAGCTTTAGTCTTGGAGATTTTTCTTTGAATTTCTGGAAAAGCGACAATTTCCCATGCAGCTCATACTTTAGAGAATATATTGCAGCTTTACACAGTGTGGGTTTATCTAAAGACTCTTGAAGAAAATCCTATGTAATGATATTTTGAAGCTTTGCAAAAGTAATATCTTAAATATAGATTTCTGGGATTCCCTGATTTGTGGTTTCTGATTAATGTCTGCATTGTCTTCACAAGAAAAAAAAAATTGGTGTTTTCCATTAGGTGCCTATGTCACAAAATTGGGTTCTAAATTAATCTACATTATTTATTATCTAATGGTCAAAACTAAATGTCCTGCTCCTGCATATATCCTTTTGTTTAAATTGAGTTTCAGTGAAATTAGGTGCAATCAGCCCAAGAGAAGCTTAGTGCAGATCTGGGGCCACAGTGGAGCTGTGCCAAACGTAGATTGTATCCTTTATTCACTAATGTATTTGGGAAGGCTTTCCACAATTCAAAGAGCAGAATTTTTAGGACATACATTGTAAATGTAAAATTACATTTTACTTGTAATGTCAAGTCTCTGAAGGAGATATTTTCTTTTTGTTTTATGATTGCATGGTATCTTGGAACAGTTAATTCTGCAGATATGTTCAGTGACAAAGGGTTTTAGACATAAAATATCACTGAAGTGTTACTTTGGTTGCATTTATACTTAAAAAAGGATATTTGTTTTGAAGTTTTCTTCCTACATAGTAGTATTATATTCTTTAGATGTTTCAGTCTTTATACTCTCAGTGAATATAGTGTAACTTATTTCATTTTCCTAGATCTGGAACAGGGTATGTCAAAACCAGATCTGCTGCAGCTGCCCTAATTTCCCTTTCAGGAGATACTCTACTGGCTAAATACAGAGGTGGGAAATGTATGATTTTTATACACTACCTGAAATACTGAATATTGAGGAAAATCTCCATTATAATATTTTTATTTTAAAATAAAAGTCAGCTCTGCCATGAAAAAAGTAAATTATGTTGACTGCTTAGTTGTAAAGAAGGGCTGATGCAGAATAATGCTTTCCAACCAGTATCTGTAGCCATCTTTGCAAAAGGAAGCTTCAGAAGAGGTTATAGTGACATTTAAGTAGAGCTTCTAGTTGCTTAGCAGAAAAGAACAGAAACCCGTAGTTTTAAATTAGCAATTCACAATTTAAATAGAGCACTTCTTGTCTAAACATATTTAAATATTTTCCCAATGTTCTAATAATGATTTCATTGTTTCTTCCTTGCTTTCCTTCTCTTTTCCTCACTGTAGGGAGATCTATGGTCACAGCAGTCACGGAGAGCTTGTTAGGTACATAATATAGTGAAACTTTCTGGAGGGGTTTATTGGTTAGACTGCAATTACTATAGCAGTTTGAAGATAGCTTGAAGACAGTTCAGGCTCTGCTAAGATTCCAGGGTTTTTTTCCTTGTTTTCAGCTTTTTTCCAGTTTTATGCTGTCTATGATGGGAAGGAGACATTAATCACCTGTAGTGCCCTGAGAAGCCTTCTAAGAGACTTAAATCAGGTAATGTCAGTGCAGTGCTGTTACTCAACAGATTTTGTAGGATTGTGTTAACCTAGCACAAGAAAACCCTTCATGGTTGATATCTTTTATGTTTGATTACCTTATGGGACTAAAGTTAATAGGACACTGTGGACGTAGGGAGCTATCATGCAAAGTAGGTAAAAGAATCAAATTCTGTCCTTTTACTCAAAATAACCACTTTCATTAGTGAATGCCTCTGTGTATTCATGTTGCCTGAGCTTATAGGTCCTGGAAACAGCTGGATACAACTGCTCCTAAAGCAGATGTCTGTACTCAATAGAATAGGTTGCAGTTGGAGCATGTTGCCTGAACATACAGGTATTTCCAGCTGAACTGGTGCTGAAAATGGGATTTGAAAATGACCTCTGGGATTTAAACTCAGTGTTCTTCAGTAGTATATTGTGAAAATATAGTATGTTTATCCATTACAGTAAGTGAGTAGGAAACAAATCATTCACCCTGAACTGTGAAACTGCATACTGATGGCATGAATATGAATGGGCTTTCTTCAGAATAGTGTTTAAAATGGCATTGCTATAGATACTTCACCATCTGTGTGCTGTCACCATTGCAGCAGAGCATGATGGGAACATCTGTTTTTTATTGAGGTGTTTCTGAGCCTTTCTTCTTGATGTAGATCCCAGCCATTGTGGGAGAAGGCTGCACTCTGTCTTGTGTGGAAATTGCGATTCATGACTGTTTCCATGGGGTGAGTGAAATTCTGATGTCCTGGGAAATTATTCCGAATGTTGCAGATTGATTAAAACTTCAAGTGTATCACCACATAACATCCCCAAGTATCTACTTTTAAGAAGCAGGGCTGATCATCAGTCTCACAGTATGAGAGGATTTGTATCTATAGAAAAGATGCTCAGTAAGGTACTATTGAGGACTCCCACATTTATTCCAAAACCTTTGGAACCCAGTAACATTTTACATGAATGGAAAATTTATGCCAGCAAAATCCAGTATCAGAGCTTTTATTAGAGATTGTAGATAAACCACTAGTTTTTTCAAGTGAATGTATGAGCTTGAGACATGTATTTTTTCTAGGTTCTGAATGCACCTATTGTTGAAGAAAAATTCCTGTCTTGGCTGAGATCAGAGCCTGCTGTTCTCCTGTGGCTCCCTACATGTTACAGATTATCAGCCATGGAAATGGTTTCTCACCAAGCTAGATGCAGAGTCTGCAAAGTTTTCCCCATTACAGGCATCAGGTGTGTCAGTGGTCTTTAGCATCCACCCAGTTAGTTCTTACCATTGTTTGCATACCTTACAGGCTGTAACTGATGTACTAAGTAACAAGCTTTGGATGTAATCAAATTTAACCAGGAAAAGAGGGATAGAGAGAACCACTGCAGTCTATTGCTCAAGCCTTCATCCTACTTCTCTTTAGCTCACTAGCACAAACATGAAAACTTGCCAAAGGTAAACTGGCAGTCCAAAGTCAAAGGCAATTAAACCTGTGTATCTCATTTCTTAGTTATTTTTCCTGTAACCAGTTGTATTAACTGGCTTGTTAAGTTTTCCATCTTAGCATCTTAGTCATCTAAGTAATGTTATAAAATGGCATAGTGGTATAAAAAGAACACTACGCATTACCATCGGACCAGAATGCTCAGAAAAGCATTTTACTGTTACTATGTTCTCACTAATTGTAAGTTTATAGATTTAGTTTCTTGCATTTTTAGTTTTTTTGTTTATGCTTCGTATGTCAATATTACAGTTCCATGGAAGCAATAAATAGAGGTAAGCTGCTGTATAAGAAGCACATGAAATTGTAACTGCATTCTGAAAAATGGGAAATGGTGCTAGAACAATGTTTTCTTCCGTGGACTGCATTTCAATGCAGCAAATAAATAAGATCAAGGGTTTGGAGAAAAGTCCTCAATCAATTGGGCAAAATAACTTGAATTCAGAGAGTGCTGAGGAAAGCGATTATTCTAATGATGATGTTTCTTTGAATTTCAGAGGCCAGGGATCTGGGTTTCCAGTAATTAAGCTTACTTACACCAAGTTCTTACTTGTGGGGAGATAAAGAAATCTTTTTGTTTTCACTCACAGGTATCGCTGTTTAAAATGCCTCAATTTTGACCTTTGCCAAGCCTGCTTTTTCACTGGCCGTCTCTGCAAACCACATAAGAGATCACATCCTGTTGTGGAACACTGTGTGCAGGTAGAGTCCTATTGTACTGATTCATTTCCCTGTTGAGGTTCTTCATGGAGGCAAGTAGGCAGTAGATTCTTGAACTAGAAGCATTATAAAGTTATGTGTGTATTACCCATAATGGCCATGACATATCAGCATTATTAGTCTGGGAACAGGGAGACAGGAAAAGGACCAAAGCAGGCTTCTAACTTTAGAATTAGTGTTTTGTTTTGAAGTAACTGAATAGAGCTATGAAATATCCCAGTGCAAGTCTTCTTCTTAAGGAGTTTTATGGCAAATTTTCTGTTGGCAGACAATCCTTAAACCTGTGAAAAGTCCCCTCAATGTCCCAATGTTCCTTCATCCCAATCCCAATGCAGACTCATCCAGAAATTCATTAATCCTAAAGTTATACAAACTCCTGCATGAAATGTCTTTCTCTTTCTCTCTTTTCTGAATGTCTTCAGTTTTTTCCACTTTATTGTAAAGCTTTCTGACTCATTTGTCTCTGTCAGTTAGGGATACAGCACAAAGAGGCAACATGTGTCCAACTAAGATCACATACCTGGACTCTGTTACAGGGCAACATGTGCTATCATCACACTAGTGGCAAAATACAACACTGGGAATTGGTATTTGGAAGACCAGCTTCTCCTTTGAGCAGGAGATTCCAGATCTTGCACACAGCAGCAGATGGGCTTTTTGTGGATCTGTGTAACAGTATCCTTCTGTTCCAGTAAATGAGCTGAAAAGCACTTAGGAAAGTTTCCCTATAAACCTGTATGTCCTGGTCTCCTTCCCAATCCTCTGCACTTAATGTGAAAGATACCTGGGCAGCCAGTGTCTGCACTAAAACTAAAGACTCTTAGACTGCTCTTGTAGTCACCCTTTGTCTGGGGAAGCATTAAACTCTTGCCATTTCATTGCTGTCTTCCTGAAAAGAAAACCATACTGCTAACATTGTGAGAAATTGTATCTGGATGCTCAATATCTGCATTGAAAATAACAGGTCAGTCCTCCAAATATTCTTTCTCATACTCCATCTGTGACAAAGTAGGAAAATCAAATGTTAACTAAACTCTTCATTAAGAGATTTCTAAGTAGAGACCTTAAAATTAGTGTGAATGGAGAGTGAATGGGAATGTGTGTTTGTAGAAGCACCAAAAGGAAGGACGAATGCTAAACCAAGGCAGGAGATGTTGCAGCCTGGATCGTACCGATATTGTTGCTGCAGAATTGCAACTGAATCATTGGACTTAGCTTTCCTTTATGAAACCTTAGTCTAACACAAACTCTGTAAATATTACTCTATAGGCCAAATATTACAATACAGGCCAAAATCTATACCAAAATTTAAAAGATAAGCTACTCACTATGACAGATACCATTTTTGTATCTGTTGTGTGGAACATAAAATAATCAGTAGTAAGTTGCTATCCCCATACCTTCCACTCTTAGCAGATGCTGTCCTTGTCTGGGTAAGTATTCACACTGCTGTCTTTATTAGGGATTGAGTTGCTGAGTGGGGGTTTGAAATACCAGCAGAGTTTTTCCTTACCGTGCTGACACCTTGTGGTAATGTTACTACCATGTTGAGAAGCACTAGGAGACTTGTGGTGTGTTTTCCTGTTTTCCTGTTCAGTCTGTCAAGGCTCAGCCCATGTTCTGCAGCAGTCACCTGGGGCAGAATTGGTTGGTGTCCTCCAATAATACAGCTACTGAGCTTAGTTGTTGTACATGAGCCTGACACTCCTATGATAATGGATGTGTATTTTACTGTATTCTGTGAGAGGAGGATGTGAGGCATGGAAGACTTATATCTACAAATGCTTTATACAAGTATAAAAGTATTTCTTCCTTAGATACTAGTCAGCAGAATTATTGTTGTGACTGTGAGCTTAATCATTGTAGCTGCCAAAATCTTATGTTTAGGCATTTCCAGGCTGCCTGACTTTGATCCAGTCAGTATTTTGCCTAAAAGAATTGGAGCTGCTCTTGCCTGTGTTCCTGCAGCATTACCCACTTCAGCTCCCCTTCTAGGGCTCAGATAGCAGCCATGAGCCTCGTCAGACAATGAGCAGATGGACCTTTGCTTTGGAATACGTTTGTTTCTGGGCAGTACCTGTTTGAAAAGTCACTTTCTTCTTTATTATCCCTTGTTCCAATAGATGTCAGCAAAGGCGAACGCAAAGCACTTTCTGCGCACCATCAGGAACAACCTGTTTCAAGAGCGCTGCAGAAGAAAAGAGGCTCAGAGAAGGACAGCTCTGGAGTCAGTGGAGGAGAGGCACTTCCCTGCTCACAAAAAGACTTTGTGAGTTTTGGTGTCAGATGAATTTATAATCTCTGAATGTCAGGCTGTGGAATGCCTCTTGATTATGTCCTTTGACTAAAGGATTTTGTTATGACAGATACCATGTCATGATTTTTCTATTAAAAAGGGAAAGAATAACTGAGAAGTTGCTGCACATTGTTCTGTAGCTTAACTATGGTTACCATGCTGACAACCTAATAATCAGTTGCCTTATAAAATATAACAGGCTTGTGTTTTGCTTCCCTCCTTCCTTATGCTGTATTTTCCACTCTGTTCTATTTCTTATACTCAGTCTCGGGCTAAGCATTGCATATATTTACTACCTTTACAACTGAATGGGTTCTTAAGCACCTCCTCTGTGACAAATCCATTGGAAATTAACTGTGACTACTTTCCACATGTGACCCACAGTGCATTCACTGGCAGGGATTCTACTCAAGTCCCACTAAATTACAGATCTGTGGAATCACTCACAATAGCAAGTAGATGATCTCACCATTCCTCTTCTTTCTGACCAGTTGTTTTGTGTGCTTTGGTTAATATTTAAAGTCATTACTGTATTTCCACTCATCACAGTGGTTAATAATGAGAATTGGAGGTAATGTTTGTCTGTCTATTTATACTGCATTAGTTTTTTGCATTTGGATCTTCCTGGGTAGAAAAAACCATGTGAGTCCTGATCCTTTCCCTACTCATTACTTCTCTGTTGGTATATAGTTCTCCTGTGGAATTCAGCGCTTCATCACGACCTGGTCCTGAAAATGTGCCTTTCCAACTGGACAATTGTGTCCCAGAATCATCCAGATTCATACCTGAAAATAGGACTGTAATGCAGAAGAGTGAGAGTAACAACAAGACACCTGAGCAAGGCAAGACAATAGCTCAGGTGAGCAAAACACGAAGCAGTAATAGTGCTAAAGCTGTGAAGAAGATCTAGCAAGTTAATTATCTGCTTGCCTTCTAATTACAATGAAAATGTAATGGGCAGCTTCACCTTTCTGTTAATTCCTCACTTATGGTGAAAAATGTGGAATCTGAAAACTTAGTGAAGTTTGAATTTGTTATCTTCTCAAGATTAGTGACTAACTCCTTGACTTTCATGACCTTCTGAAGCACCTGTAAGAATATTTGCTTTGGGGTTTTTTGAGATGTCATAGAGTAGCATGCTAAAGTCTAGATGAGTCTGGAGTCCTCTTGCTATTCTGACAGTAAAAAAGGCCATCGTGTCTTCCTACTACAAGCAAATGTCAAAGAAGAATGCCTGAGTTCTTATTAGACTCAGGCCATTTTTGTTACCATGGAAATAGCAAGAGGAGAGAGTGGGCCCTCTTAGGATAAACCCAGAGCAGTGTCCACTCCAACTAAAATAGCTAATGCACAAAAGGTCTCTATTAATCCATTCCTAACTTGCCTCCAAAGAATCAAAAGAGTGGGTAGGACAGTGTAGCTAAAACAAAGTACATAGCAGTTTTCTGTTTCTATACTTTTTGAGAGATTGGTAGCTCTGCACTTATTCAGAATACAGGGAACACTGGGCTGTGTTCAAACCAGTTTCTGTCATCCACTCATCTTGTTCTTCCCAGGAGCCAAGGGGTGCAGTAACACAATACTAGCCTCTGTGTATCAGATATCCTTTGGCTGCTACTCCTGTGCTGCCTTTTGGAAGATCTGTCTTTTAGAACTCTGTTGCCCAGCTCAAGGTACAGTGCCAGCCAGCAGATATCTGCAGGAGATGTTGTGGGCAGACATTGCTTAAACATAGAATTTTGACAGTTGGCATTTGTCATTTTAGAAAACAGCAGGACAGGTCTGGCATCCCTGTGCTGAGATTCTGTCAGGTGCATTGCTCTCTTGTTTATTTTATCTCTGGGCTGAGAATCCCTTTTGAGCAGTTTTATATTCATTTCTAAGATATTACAGTGCAGGTTATTTCCACTTTGATTGAAGAGACATGGATTGTAAGTCCAATGATTGCTTTTAATAGAATCTATGAACATGGAGGTCCTGAGTGATCCAGCTCTTAGTCTCATAATTTCCTGGCACCTCTGATTCCTGCCCAACTTATATCATGCCTCAAAAGTATCTTAGCTGGTAAGTGTTTGTCTCCTTGACTTCTGGGCTACTGTTCTCTGCATGGTCCAGAGAATTTAAAGACCAGGAGTTTCTCTTCTCTCTTCTACATACAGTCTCTCTCTCCATCTCCTTGTCTCAAAGCAGTTGTGGGACTTGAGAGAGATTGTTCCCAAATCAAAATATTCCATTTTGCAGAAATTCTTGGGAATATGGATTTTGTTCTAACTTCGAACAAATTCTCATACACTTAAATTTGTCATAGAACAAAGAATTTGTTTTATAGAATAAATTTCCCAGCCATTAGAAATACTTTAATTCATCAGTTGATTGTAATATATTAAATTAAAATGGTTAACCAGTAATTCTGTAGATTCACCAGATTCAAAACTTTTCATACACTCCTATAATAAAACTTGCATATAAAAATTAAATGCTATTGCTGATAAATTTATGAACAGATACTTCTTTTTGTTGTAGGCAATAGCCTCTTTTGAAGCAGATGTGATAAAAATGCATGAATCCATTAAAAGCATTCACAGTGACAGCAGGTAGGTAAATGCAGTAGTAAACTCGGTGAAGACTAGTGGGCAGTGCTGCTCCAGCTGGAGGGCTAGAAGACAGATGATTTTTCCAAAGTTTGGAGATTTTGAGATTTAAAAAAATCCTATCAAATGAGGATGAATAATAAAAACTCAGCAACAAAAATTTTAGATTAAGATCACTAGAAAAACAATGGCAAAGCAAACCATTGTGGTTTGCTTTCATCAGCTTTTCTGCAATTGCTAGTTCACATTTCTGAAAGGAATTTTTAGAAAAAAAAGATGTTCATCCAGATAAAAATGTCAGAATAGCATACTTTTTCAAAATTTTCTCTCAATAAGGCCTAATCAAAACAAATTTCATAATTTGCATGAAGCTTTTAAATCAAAGTAGAATTTATTTCTAAAAAAATGCTGTACATCAAATAGAGATTAATAGGATGAATACAGTAACTACTAGTATAATAGTTTATCAGAGAAGTTCCTCCTGATAGTCAAATATTTGACACTGTAAAATATTAATTCCGTAATTAAGAATCTCTTGGGAGGCTTGTTTGTTTGGGTGTCATGGCAGGAGGGAAGTTGGTGTGTGAGCTACGATGCTTACCTTTTACTTGGATTTTTGCCTTCCCCCCCTTTTTTGTAGTTGTATATAAATGTGCTCTATATAACCATGCCTATGACCAGTGAAAATGATGGAATTACGGTGAAGTGTAGAATTCGATCCTGAATCTACTCCCTTTATTTCTTTCAGCATGTTCAATTCCCTCTGTTCCCCTTCTGTTTCATTCCAAGTGCAATTGCTGCTCCAAGTTCACAAAAGGGCACTCCAAGATTAGAGCTAAACAATTTCAGTTTCATTGTGGGTCTGTTCTCACTTGGGAAAATAAAGAGATATGACAAAGATCTTCAGCTTTCTTTTAGATTAGCAATTGTTGAGAGGATATATGGGATGCCTGCTCCTATAATGCTGCTCTGACCCAGAGCTTATCACAGAACTGGGTGAATGAATCACATTACTCATGGGAAGCTCTTTATTTTGTTTGGGACTGACTTCCAGCATTCACCTGTCTACTCTCAGAACTGGACGCTGAGTTAGTTGAAGGAGGACAGAATTTTACAGTCAGGAGGCCTTAAATGTTATTATAAAGGACCACTGTAATATTAATTTTAATTTTCAATGGTTTGACTCGCTGTCCCATTCAGACAAATCTTGTGTAGTTCAAGGGGGTGGCTGTCTCTAAGCCAAAGCATTACCACAAGAAAGTGGATCAAGTGAACTTCTGTATGTAACTAAGCATGGCAGATAACTATTTCAGATCTGTGATATGAAGCAGTTGGTTTATTACTGTAGTGTTAATAAACTTTCCTTTCTGCACCTCAGCTGTGAGGAAAGCAAAACTATTTCTACCCTGACTTCTTAGAGAAATCACAAATAGAACAGAATTATGGGTGGTATTACTGGCATACTGTGCTCTGAGTAGGTAATTTCTAAATCTCTGTTGTACATGGGAGGGTGGTACTTCTGTTTGCAGAAATCAGAGTGTTTTTTCAAGGGCAATTGGCCAGTGCAGAAGCTATTCGTATCATTAAAGAAACTGCAGAGAATACCACTAGCAAGAAGAAATTCTATCAAAGAGGCAGAACCTGCTTTTACTTCACTGTTGCCCAGGCATGTAATGGGAATTTTTTGCAGGTCAGGGAGTTGCTACAAGTAGTTTGCTTTTATACAGAGGGACTGCTATTGTCTCTTATGTTGCAGCCACCTTTGTGGGAAAGGTAAAACCTCAAGATGCAAGGTTCACTCCTGGCCACAGTTCTATTTAGCCTGGAATACTCATGTTCTTGCTAATTCCATGGGTACAGCCTAGCTTCTGAAATATTGGCCTCTAACCCCAAAACTGACAAGAATTTCCAGAACTAGTAAAGGGGATAAAGTTTGTGCTAAAGTGTTTGCTCATTTTCATGAATGCATATATTTGTGTATGTCTGGTCTAGCAAAAATCCCACCCTCTGTATCTCTGGTAGGTACATGAAGAAGCAGTTCAGCAAATGGAAGGACAAAATGCAATTTCTTCATAACTGCCAGGAACAGAAAAGCTGCAAAATAGAGGCAAAACTCCAAAGACTGAGAGTAAGCCATGAAAACCTACAAATGACACTGCAGCACATGAAGGAAGAAGTAAAGGTATAGTGATATATATATCAAGAATTGTCACAGCTATGAGCCATTACTGAACACTAACAACTGCTTTTCTTGTATACCAGCACTTTTAATAACATTTCATGCACTTCCACTTGCATTTTCAGTCATCTTAATTTTTTCTCCTTAGAGAAAGCAGATAAGGTCTTTGCAGCAGGGATTTTCTTGTCATTCTGTGCATATGTGGCATCTAGCACCAATACCCATGTCAGCACATTTAAATACTACAGCAATGAAAATAATGAATATTCCAATAAGAGTTTCCAACAGAAGTGTTAGATACTTCATTGCAGTCTCTTCTTCAGAGAAGAGTCAAAGTGAATAAATGTCATTCCTAATTGCTGCCTTTTACTGGGATGTAATACAGACATCTTATAGAAAATATTTTATTTGTTTTCAATAATAGTGATTCTTATCATTACAATTATTTCTGAGATTCCTAAAAAGCCCTTGTTTCACAGAAAATGTTTACATATTTTCCCCCTACAGCTTTTTAATAGCATTTTCTGCAATACTGTTTTAGTACTACTGGCAAATGGAAACCTTATTTTTACAATGTATTTTCTGTGTTTTGTCTATTGTAGACCATGTTGCAGTCATCAGAGTGTCCTTTTGCACAGTGTCATAATACAATGCCAAGAAATCCACATGTTCTGCTGGAAAGGAGAATGCAGAGTGAATTAAATCCTGCCCAAATAAGGCCTACTTCCAAAACAGGTGCAGAACGGAAATCTTTGAATCCCCCAAACTCTTTAAATAGAATGCAGCTTTTACAGACACCTGAGGTTCCCACTGCAGTGGAACTCATGTTCTCAGATGACCCACTGGAGTCAGTGTCTCTGCAGAGTGACAAACCCTTTATGGGACAGCATAAACAAGCAAAAGAGAAACAAACATATCTGCCTAAACTGACAGAAAACTCTCCTGGTGGAATGGGGAATACAGTTCTTATTCCCACGGCAATGCAGACACCACCTGATGAGAAGGAAGTGAGAGAGGAATTGGAACTGCTAATGATGAAACTGAAGGATACATTGTCTCTCCAAACCCAACCAGGTATAAGTTCTCCAGTCATCTTGTCACTGTCTTCTTACCTTCATCCTGTTTATTCCATAATATTGTTCATAATCGTGAACAATGATTTTAGAGGAAACTCAGAATCTTGCTTTAGCTTTTGTAGTATTATTCTATATAGTAAGGTAGAGCATATTCCAAATATATCCCCTAATGTTGGACTGATTTGGAACGGGATGAGTCAAAGCTCCTAAGAGATAATGAGTCTTGGCAGTCTATTAAAGAGCAAATTTAAACTGGTCTGGGTATGAGAGCTTTTTGCTCTTGCCACTTCTGTGACACTGTAACTATAACTCTAGTCCTAAGAGACTTCCAGCAGTACAAAATTCCTTTGTAATCAAAGGTCTTACACAGCAGAGCTTTGTTCAACATTCAGGATGCCTCACTTTTGATAATATGACAGAAAAAGCTGGTGCTTCTACAGAGCTATTGTAGAGATTCATTAAGAGTTTTCTAGTGCTCTGGCAGCATCCAGAAGCTTGGAAAGACTTAAAATTTATTCTACTTTTCAGCCCAACAAACTGCTTTGCACCAGGAGTTCTTCTCTACAGCTGAGCAAGTTTCTAGGTCCTTTTCTGACCTCATCAACCAAATAATTTCACCATCTTGTAAATGATGGAAACTACCATTCACCTTACAACTTCACTGAACTACTTAAGGTAATTGATGCCATGTCTCTTAAAAGAGACTCTTTAAAATGTCTCAGATGTTGCCTGTAATAACAGCATGACAGATTTCTGCATTTACTGACTTCACCTGGAACATTCTGGAGAGCTATATTCCTTTTCTGTTGATGATTTCCAGCTCCCGTGCTGTGACCTCCTCAGCAGTGCAAACCATTGCCCATTTCTCTCTCTTTAGCTGTTGATTTCCCATGGCCAAGTTACTTCTTTCGAATGGTGCTGTATTTCTTGTTGATGCCAGCAACCAGGAAAACACTTTTTCCTGTCATGTATAGAAGGATTTTAAAGACCTGAGAAATTGAAAATATTCAGTACCACTTCAGAGAGAAAAAAAAATATACAGTCAGTTATTTACTATCATTCTTTAGCAGGAGGTGCATAAAAATAGCAAATAACTGTTTGTATGTGCTCAAAACCAGTTATGGTTCAAGAAAATTTGCATACTTTTAAGGATTTCAGTTATGTCACTAAAACAATATCAGCTTTCCAAGAAAAAAAATAGTCCAAGTTTTTACAAGATTTTTTTCTGTGCTTACAAAGAAAATAAATTTCATTTGTGTGAAAACAAAATATTTTTGAAAGTTCTGGGAGAAAACTTAGGTAAATTTTCTGAAGCTTTGTTTCATATCTAATCAAACAGTGTTTAGGCTGATGTGATTGAAAAGGCTAATAAAAAGCATACGGCTTAAGACAAGCTGCTTAGAATCCACACAGATTTTCCTTGTGTTGTATTTTTCAGAATGAGTTATAGTCATCGAGATAAAGGAACTGCCTGACTCATTAAAGAGGCTAGAAATCTTATTTTCTGTTTGTAGCACCTCAGCCATCTTCTTGAAAGACCTTTCACTGTGGTATTGAGATTAATGAACATTCCTCATTCTTTCTGCTAGTTTTGGCCAAAGGAGGCCTGAATTACACATACTGCAAACACTGAAGAATTTACAGCAAGAAATAATAGTATGCTACTGGAAGCTAACAAGTGGTTTGTCTCTAGCAAAGGAAGAGTAAAGAGGGTGAAAATTAAAATAAAACAAACTTATTGAGGGAGGAAGGAGAGTCCCAGAGAACAAATAGTAATGAGGTAATTAGAAAGTGGATATACCCATATCACAACATAAATAAATACACTGTGAGATAAAAGCTTAGTAGTAAGCTTTTGCAATAAGCCAGTGCCAAGAGACACACACAACAATCCAAGGAAGCTACTTGTTGATTATGGGAAGATACCCATCAGCTTCTGATGAGGCTTTAAATCTCCTTCTAGTGTGTCCATTTGAATTAAACTTGGCTGGAAACAGTAGTAACTGACAAATGCTGGTTTGGTCTGAAGCAACATTGAACCGAACTGGAACACAAATTCTTACACATAGATATTCCTGAACTACCATGGACTGTTTTTTCATGTCATTATGTAAAGATTAAATAATTTTTTTTCATGCTAAGAAGCAGTTGTCTAGCTCACTGATCCCTGTAAGATGAAATGGACAAAATCACAAGGTCTTTATTTTGTTGTTATTCAGTTCAGCTGACAGTGAGGGAATTTCAGTCAGTCATGTTCATCCCATCCTTCTTCTGACACACTCTGACTTTGAAACAGTAAGCCAGGAATAACAATCCTATTCACACAAAAATCTGCCATGAATTTGATAAGGAAGAGTGGTAGGAGGCAATATCCTGTCTTTAAACACGGTGACATTTGTAAATGTTGTTGTATAGCAGATCAACTTTCATCTCAAACTGAGAGCCCTTGCTTTTTTTTTTTTAATATAGACACTCTTTTATCACTTGCAGCCCCTTTCTTATTTCAGTACAATTAATAATACAGATTGCCTCTTTACATCAGCAATTTCCAAATGTTTTCAATAGGGTGATCTATCCTAGAGATTGATCTGTTTTATCAGTCTTGGCTCCACTTCCTTTCCTCCCATGTGGCAGGAAAGCGTTCTCATAGGCTGTGGCTGCAACTGGAGGTCTGTTGCTGAATAAAACAAACTGTGTTCCTGTGTTTATCCTGCTTTAGTATTCTCTCTTAAACACTTAAATAATCTGCTGCATGCTTAACTTGAAGCACAAATTCAGTACCAATGAAGCTGCTAGCCCTCATACAGTTTTTTATTTGCTTCCTTAAGTTAGGATTTCCCTCAATGGGACTGTGATTAAGCCTTATTTTGTTCATGCCAGTAACCATTTCAAGATTTCTTTACATGTTTTGTGACTTGAACCTATTTCTGCAAGTTGAACAATGAGGAAGTCCATTTTTTGTGGGCATTTGGGAAAAAGAAAAAAAAAAACCACCAAATATTGCTACATGCTCAAGGAAAGAAACTAAATGTAATAGCCCTGGAAAGATGAAATTCATGGTTTCATCCAGCCAGTCAGGCAATAGAAATAATTTATCCCATAAAAGCAATCAAATGTTACCTGCCATAATTTGTTTTGCATTAGTTTAATGTCAAATTGCCTACTACAGTTATCAATAAGAGTCAGAAAAAACTGATCTTTCTACAAAGAACTTGTGAACTAAAAAAGAAGTAAATGCAAGTTATGTATGAGAATTTTTGTGATTAAACATTGTAAGTGTGAAAGCAGAGGACCTGGTAAAATCTGTTAACCCTTTTACTGGAAAGCTGAAAACACTCTTGGAAGGTACCTTTCATGTAGAAATATGTACCATTTTTCTTTAGTAGGATGATGTCTCTGAGCAGGGGCTGCTCTGAACAAGTGTACAGCTCTGCATACAAGCAAACATCACCATCTCTTCTCTAATCCTGTCTTGGAGCCAGTGGAGGGTTTTTGACAACTTCCTTCTCTTCTCATCTATGTTTTATTGAAGGATCAGTTATTTCCTGGTTTGGCACCCAAAAGACAATAGTTTGAACAAATCACATGTATTACAAAAAGCCTGATATACACACAGATTAAAGCAAACAACTGCTTTTAAATCATGCAGTTTAGTAAGGCGACTTAATTCATAGGTGATTAAGAAAACCCATAAGTCCAAGTTAATCAGAGATGTAGTGCTTGAGGTTCATGTGTTCTTCCACCACATAAATTGACATCAATGGGAATTAAAATACAAAACATAAAGAGAAATAGTTAAAAATTATCTACAAATCAAAAACTTAGACTAAATGTGTAATTTCCTCTTTTTTCCTAGCTCTCCAATGATTCTTCCAAGTAATATAGATCTACTCTTATGTATATGGATACTTATTAAATCTTCAATTGACTCTTTGTTCTTCAGAACTGGTGACCTCTGAATATGAGAAAATGTTCCTGAAAAGTGACATAAAAATGCATATAAGTAAATAATTTCCAAATAGCAAAGAGCAGCTGAATACTCAGTTTCCCACATCCATGTTTCCTCTGCCTTTAGCTGCTGCTAGTCCTATTTTATCAGCATTGCCCCCAAGCCTCTTGCTCTGGTGATAGCCATATCCCTCCATTTGCATGTTGCCTTTCAGTGTCAAGTCACTTTGATCTTTTCCCAGTATGAACCTTTTTCTTTAGTCTTCCTGTAAAACTCTTCTACTTGTAATTAGCAGAATCAAAGTGCTTAAGTCTACTCAGAATCCGACTACCCCACTGGTCAGAGGTTATCAACCTCTCTGCACAGTGGGTGAGATCTCTCACACTGTCTAGTAGCACATTTGTTATTTCCTTGAGGAACTTTGGGGCGTTGTCTATGCAACATTCTCTAAAAGGCAGCTGGTTGGCTTTCTTTCTTTTAGATATATTTGTCTTCTGAAAAAGTCACTTACTAATACAATACCTGCTTATTTACCAGACCTCAATTGTACAATAGCCTTTGCTCCACTACCCCTCCTGACACCCTGCAGAGTTGGGACAGGAAATTATGTCTCTCTTGGGCCAGGTGCAAAGGGTGGTCTGAGCCTAATCACCTGCACCTGTGAGGGAGGCGTGCACAGCTGAGGCCACTGAGTGGTAAGGGACAGTGGGACTGCTGGGCAAGGAGAAAAGAGACAGAAGGTTTGAATCTGTGGTATTCAGATGTTTGTAGGGAGGATGTGCTATGTGGCTTCTTGAGGAGGATCTTCTTGTACAGCTGCTCTTCAGGAAGATTGCTGTGAGTACAAAAGTGATGTTTTCTTTATGGTTCTAAAGTCTTATTTTGTTTAGAGTTGCTATAACTGTAATGTAACTACAGTGTTGTAATAGATTGGAAATGCATTTATGAAACCTGCTTTTTCATAGTGTTTGGGTGTTTTTAGGGAAAAGGGATGACTTACTAAAGATAGCTTGGCTAGGTATCTGAAAAACACTCCCTACTTGTCTCTACTTAAAGATGTTTAAGAATTCTCTGAAGAATATCTAGGAAGTTGAAATGCTGCTGCGTTATGATTTTAGGTAGATTGAGACAGTTTGTCAGATTACTTGTATTCAACTGTTCTGATTTTGAAGTCTTTTTCATTGATTGTGTGGAGTTAAGGAGTATCTTCAGACTGTGAATACAGTCAAAAGCCTGGAGGGACCAGACTGGTCCAGAAAACAGTGTTTGAATCTGTAAGTCTGGAACTGGGCTACTTCTCCCACTGCTTAGTGCACACTTGAAGAGAATTGTTTCGCAGGAGGACCAAGTATGGGTAACTGTGAAAGTGCCTCTAAGATGTGACAAAGTAGTTTTGTTTGGGGTTTTTTGCTTGGAGGACTTTTTTTTTTTTTTTTTTTTCCTCCTTAGAAAAGTTCCTGATTCTCAATCTTCACCAGGAAGATTATCCATTAGTTCTGAAATGTAATACTACTAATACCTTAACATCAGTATTTCTGTGCCAAGTTCAAATATCTGTCTTGCTTTTCCAATTCAGTGATATATTTAAGGAACTACAGGCAATGCAGATTGCTCCTCATTCCTGATTTATGATCCTGTTTGCAATTAAAACAACAAAACAAGCCCCAAACATATTGAAATTTTAACTATTTAAGAGGAGTAAGATTACAAACTTGGGTATGAAGCAATAAAGTTATCAACCATTGCAAAAGTAATAGTATAAAACAAGAAAATTTGCTTTATTGTTGGATTTCTGGAACAAGCCTACTGAAAGCTATTTATACCTGCCCATGCAGCTGTGAAGTACACAAGGTCATGGGGCTGAAGAAAACAGGCTTGTACCTCTGTGCATAAGAAGTGCAAAATCTATTCCTCATCATTTGCTATGCTATTTCTACCTGTGATTATTACCTGTTGATTTCTGCCTTCACTGGTGAAATAAGGCAGTTGGACCACAGGTTACAAAGATTAAAACAGCTGGCTTTGTTAAGAAACTGGGAGACTTGGATGAGAAGTTAGATAGATGGCTCCTCTAAAAAAAATTAGGCTGTCGCTGCTATAAGCTACCTGCAACAGACTGATGTTAATCAGTTGTACAGAGAAACCAGATTAACTGATTAAAAGTCACAAAACAAAGAGGGCCTGAATACTTAGTAGTACTTAAAATCTCTTTGTATTAGAGTGAAGAGTAGTCAGAATTTATCATAAAACCCTTAACTTGATTCTTCAAAATACATCAGAGTGTTACTCTTTAATCTTGACTAGAACAAAAGCTCTTTGTATAGGAAAATCACAGTGTGATATAGATATGTAGAGTCAGATGTAAGCTCTACAGAGGCTTAGTGGTAGTTTAGACAGTGATATTCAAAGCTCCAATCCCAAACAAAAAATAATTGAATGCTTTAACCTGGGGGGTTATCTCAGGTTTTGACAATACTACTGCCTTGTGTGTCTAAAGCTGGATTCTGTTTGCATCCAAAAGTGTATCAGTCTGGTAAGGACTGAGCAACTTGTTGCCTGTGTGATGTCTAAGACCACTTGGAAACCAGAAGCGAGTTCTGTGCTGCATGCCAACACAGTAAAGATCCAGTCAGAGCTCAGATTCTTCCCAGAGCAGAATAGGATCCAGTCCTTGCTTTTAAATTGCAGGTAGTGGTTGTTTGACTCATAGATTAGAAATTGACCCTGTGTGTGTTTGAGTTTTTCAGTCTGAGAGGATTGATTCAAATTCAACTCATATCTCAAAGTTCAGGATCCTGCCTGTAGGTAAGAGGTTAAGGACCTCTCAGTCCTTCCTGTCTCAGATTCTAGCTTTCAATACCCAAAACTGTTTAAGGTTTGTGGGCAAGAGTGGAGTGGTCCACTGTGGTGTTGTCCCTGAGATGCAAGAACCCTGAGTTCAAGTCAAGTTTTTACAGACACTCTAATGGGTACTTGCTCAGAGAGGCTCTTCATTATTCCATGAACATTCCCCCCAAATATCTTAATAACTGAGACACTGCTCTAGCAAGTGGAGATAAGGGTCTCAATCCATTGAAGTGTAAAGGCAGTTCTGCCTTCTCACTGTGGGCTCATGCACTACACTGTCAGTGATGGAAACAGCACTTCTACCTCTCCACCAAATTATAGCACCTACCTCTATCTGTAAGTGGATATTCTCTGGGCAAGGATAGATCTGTTGGTAGCAGGATCAGAACTGAAGCCTTGGAAGGGACTGAGATTTAGGGAAAGTTATACTGTGTCTCCCTTTTGGGAATGAGGATGGTAATTGACATGCATATGGAGTTGGTGGGGGGGCTGGGAACCTGGAGACTAGGAATTGCAGCATTTAGTGTCACAGGTAGTGGTGTTCTTCCTGAAGCTGTAGTGTGCCTGAAAGCCTGTATGCATCTAAATCTGAGGTCTGTTTCCATTGTGTGTTGGGTAAAGTTACCAGTATGGAAATGAAAAGTAGCTGACTGCTAGATGGCAAGCACGCACACCTTTACCCTTCTGCCCAAAGGCTGCCACTCTCTCCAACAGCACAGTGCAATGCATTCCTCTCAGAATGGGGAATTCAGAACTAGCCTCTTCCTAGCACAACTGTGGTAAAAAGGCTGGTGTGGAAGAATATATTGGTATATTCAGTTGCTGAGCTGCCTTCTTTTTTGAATCCTCCTGTATTACACTTTCTGCTGCTTTTCCTGCCCTATCAAACTGAAACTTAAAAGCTGTTGTTAGTTCAAGTTTTTAGAGGTAAAATTTTTACTGAGATCACACTGAACATAAACACAGCTCTACACGTGACTGGGAGGAGTATGGGTTTTTTGCACAGCACTTTCCTCTGTTGCTGTATTATCACCACATAGCACAATAGGCCTCAATCTCTTTTCTTTCCCACTAGATTCTAATTATTGCCCATTAGATGCATATTAAAGGACTAGTGACCTTGGTTTCTCCCTATGAACTGAGAAGGTAGAGTAGCCATCTTCTGGCTTCTGGCAGCTTCTGACAGCTGCCTTCTCCCCAGCCCATGGGTTCTGGAGAGCACACAGTCCACATAGATATCCCAGAAGAGCTGAGCCAGGTCCCAGAACAAAGCCCCATGTTTCAGGTTCTCTGAGGATTTCAGAAAGATCATGAAGTCCCAAAAGCCACTAACAGAGTCAGAAATGTGAGGCTTCCTCATCTCCAGTAAAACAGCCGAGGAGGATTCCCAGCACTGGGGGTCTGCCCGCCCAAGGGCCAGTGGATCAATTTGACTATGGCAGAGAAAAGGTGTCACACAGAACACTGCCATGAGTAAGAGAGAGCAGGTGAGTCTCATGGTGCAGTGGATTCTTCCTCTGCTTCCAAGATCCATTATGTCACTGAAATATAAGAAAGCCAAGAGAAGCTGAAAAAGTCTCACTCTTAGATGCAGGAATAAAATCCCGTTATTTTACATGATATGCAAGGCACTTAAATATTGTTTCTCTGTTCCTTAAAGATTTATGTAGGCTTTTTGCATGTATATAAATACTACAGGAGTAGCAATGCTCTGTGCAGTAGAAGCATGTGCAAAAATTTTTAATCATCCTCAGATCTGAATGATGAACTCTTATCTGGAAGTACTTAACATTGGCAGTTTTTTTGCCATTTTTGCTTTACAGATCCCAAATGTATTTCGGTAAAAATCCATTCCTTTTTATAATTTAAGTTTTTTGGCAGCCTTGCTTTTCTCAAAATTTTATGAGCCCTTTAAAATAGTCTTCAGAATCACAAGGATTAGTGAACAGCAGGTGGAAAAATTTTGTTGAAAATCTGTTTTAATGGTTGTAATTATTGCAGGTTTCAGATTAATCCACTGACCAGGAGTGGCCTAGGTGCTAAAGGGCAGAACAGCTCTGAAAAGAGGGTATAGCAAAGCCATCCCATAGCAGCTGTATTGTACAACATGTACCATGCATATAGAATCTTAGAACAGTTCAGGTTGTAAGGGACCTCTAAAGGTCTCTAGTCCAACCTTCTGCCATTGGCAGGGACTTCAACCACATCAGATTGCCCAGAGTCCTGTCCAACATGACTTTGAACTTTTCAGGGATAGGGCATCTTCCACTTCTCTGAACAACCTGTTCCAATCCAGTGTCTCACCCACCCTCATTGTAAAATATTTTTTTTCTTTATATCTAATCTAAATTGATCCTCCTTCAGTTTGAAACCATCACTCTTTGTCCTCTTGAGGCAGGCCCTGCTAAAAAGCCTGTCCTCATCTTTCTTATAGGCCCTCTGTAAGTGCTGGAAGGCTGCAGCAAGGTCTCCCTGGAGCCTGCTCTTCTCCTGGTGGAACAGCCCCAACTTTCTCAATCTGTCTTTTCAGGACAGCTGCTTCACCTTCCTCATCATTTTTGTGGCCCTTCTCTGGACTTGCTCACTTTCCTGTGCTGAGATGTATTTATGTATATGTAAAAGTATAGATGTGTATTGCAAATCGCTGAGAATTGACTGTTAAAACTTTGAAATTTGCTAAGTAGTATCTGTAATGGATAGGTAGAAATTCTGAGAATTATTACCTTTTGTGGACAGAAAGGCCCTGTTTTCTCCATCAGATTTCATTTCTAGTACATACTTCTTTGTTGTATTTTCTAGCATACTTCTAGCATTTCTGATGTTGAACAAGTTTGAGGGGTTGTTTTTAGTGTAGGTCATGGCATATGGAGAACCCATTTGTAGAAATCAGCTACATCTGAGATCAGCATTGAGGACAAAATTCTATTTAATGTATGTGCTGATCTGCTGAGTATTCGTGCTTGTACATTTTCAGTTTGGTTGTTGGGGGTGGGAAGCTACTTCTCTTAATGAACTAGATAAGCAACTGGCTTTTTGTGTAGAAGGTCTCTTCTATGAGTGGTCCTGAAGAAGTGTTCCTTTGCTACGTGAAGAAAAATGCCAAAGGCAGGATATTGATGTGCAGAGGGATTGTACATGAAAAATAGCCCAGGCACAGCCTGTGTGTGAGACTAGGGAAGAATAGTCTGCTTTGTGGAATATATTTCATTGTAGAACTAAAGGACTCTTCAGAGATTTCAGTCCTAGCAATGTTATTCTTACCTAGCCCCCTGTCTGGCTACCTGGTCAGGTTCTGGGAATATTGTTGAGGTATTCAGACTTTACTCCCCAGCTGCCTACAGTCACTTTTTAATCTGAGTTTGGGTGTTGTGAGAAGAGCTGGCTTGGCAGCCCTGGACCTGAACATTGCATTAAAGGAACAAAAGAGGGACAGCTTGCTCTTCCCACACTGCTCTGCCTAGTGGATGTCACTTATGACAGTGGTGGTAGTAATAGGGCTGTCCTCCTGCTGCTTCCGAGATCCCCAAGAAACATCATTCTTCTGTACCCTACTCCACAAGGCAGGCTTTGATTGCTTTCTCAGAAGCAAGCAAAAAACATGCTGTGAGTCACTACTTCATTCTTGTTTGTGCATCAGAGCCCTTCCACTGGGCACAGACACCTGTGTGCCATGCAGTATGCACATATGTCTGTTCACTGAGACTTTTTCAAGGGACATAGTTAACTTTATCAAATTTCTGGTTATCAAAGCAATTTAGCAGTCTCAAATATGACCATGAGGGTGATGAGAAGACACGGGACAGTGAGCGGGGAACCCCAACAACAACAGATTGTTCAAACAAAGGAATAATACAAAAAGAAGCTAAAAATACTAAAATCCTTTAAATGATGGTTCTGTGATTTTGGCAGATCCCATCTCATATGTACAGGTTAAAAACTGAACTGGTTTCTTTGCATTTTCTGTTCCCCAGCACTTATTCTGAACTTTACATGTTACAAAACTGGGTAAGACAAGGGTTCTGGATTTGTCAAAACAAGGGGACAGCCCTGGCAAGGAGTTGGTAGTGCATTAATATGAGAATCAGTGCCCTTGAAAGTATGATGTGCATGGGATTAGTAAGGGCCAGTTGCAAAGGCCACTAGTCCCTATGATTTGGTCATACTCGGGCAGCACTCTGCTGTTAGTCGTCCACAAGGTTCAAGATTGTTTGATTTTTTAGATAGTTGAGAGCTGGAGGGGATGCCCAGGAAACGCCAAATTTCATTAATCTCCTACCTGTGCATGTGGTGAATGCTTCCATGTAATTCTTCCCCTACGCCCTCCAATCTGTTGATCTTTCTGTCCTTACACTGAAGTTTGTGTGTGTGTGAATGCTATTTACACTTCCCGGTTCTGACTTTTCCCACTCTCCCCCCTATCCCCGCTCCTCCTTGCAGCGTAGTCTCCTGCTCCGCTCTCCGGCATGGATAATGCCTTACAATAATAATTTAAAAGTTAATCAGTTAATTTGTTATTATCGTCTAACTCGGAGCTCCCGTTACGGTAGTCCCTCGGCCGTGCGGCTGCCGCAGCCGGTCCCGGGCCGGTGCAGCATCCCCGGGCAGTCCCGCGCGGCTCCCGGAGCTCCGGGCAGCGCCGCCGCCGCCGCTCCCTCCCGCCCGCTCCGCTCCCGCCCCGCCCCGGCGCCGCCGCAGCTCTCGGCGCTTACCTCGGCGCTCCGGCCAGGGCAGGGCTCTCCGAGCCCGCTGCCGCCGCCGCGCTCCTTAAGAAGCCGGAGCGAGCAGCCCCGCTTAGTTTTTACGTCAGGGCTCGAGAGCAGCCCCCACCCCCTGGGCCCGGCCGCCGCTCCCGGGCACCCGCAGCTCCCGCTTTCTCTGTGCGGAGCTGTCCTCGCTGCAAGTCTGCTCCGCTTCTCCGTCCCGCCTGTCCTCCTCTGCCTGAGAGCCCCGGCCCTCCCGGGGCAGCCCGGTGGCCGCGCTGCCTCTGGCCGAGGGAAAGGGGTGCGCAGAGCGGTGGAACATAACAGAACTGGCAAAGCTGCGGCCCTCCCCTTGCTGCACCGGGGAGGGCAGGAGGGGAAGAGTAGAAAGCAAGTCTGCCCTTGGAGCTCATGTTGTCCAGAGCTGGCTCAAACCTCAGGAATTTTGCTTTATGTGCTTGGCTGTTGCAGATCCCTCCACCCCAGAGCAGGAATCTGTGTGGCACGACTGGAGCTATTTGCTGGCTAGGGCTCAGCCCACGTGCTGCAGCTCATGGAAGTTGAAGCAGAGACACAGAGGAGAGCCACAGAAGGGCTCTGCTTAAAGGCATTAGTTGAAGTAGTTGGGCTGAGCTGCCCACTGCAGCTCAATTTACACAACTAACTTGGAGAGCTGTACATTCTCCAGTGGAGGAGGATGGTCCGGTCCCATTTTCCCTCCTAAGAATAAGAATGTGGTCTACTCTTGTTGCATTTTCTCTCTGTGAGGTTGTCAGCTGGATTATGACTTCTGTGTAGCAGCTGGAAAACCTCTATGTGTTGGAGAAATGAGTTAAGCTAGTAGGGAAGGGAAAGGAAAGCACTGATGAAAAGGCTGTCTCCTGTTATGTGCAGTATGGAGAGAAAAGCCTGAGCACAACTCTACAACTGACAACTCTGCCTGTGCTCACTGTGCCTGCTGTGATCCCCTTGCATACAGAAAACATACTACTCAAAGAGCTGGGGCTCTGTGACCATGCTGATAACCAGTGTTGGGCAGAACTTTAACACCAGCTATTTGAAGCAATAGGCAGGTGAGACCATTCTTTTTTTCCTCTCTCTGTAGTTTCTAGGCCAAACCATGTAGCACCTTGCTGCATGTCTGAAGCCAGTGCAGTTGTACCTGTCCATACCAGCTGGGCTGCAAATTATTTGTTTTTCCAAGGCTCTCACTGGCAGCTCCCTTTTATCTCTGCATGTGGAATCATAATCCCTCCTCCAGAAAACAACTGTGTTTCAGTAGCATGAGGCTTATCTTAGTTGAAGACAGTGGGGCTGCACTGGTTTGCATCAGCTGGAAAGTTGGCTTGAGACTCTGATTTCTCTGATGTTCATCAGTACCTTCGTAGTTTGCATTCTTTCTGTGCATCCAGTCCATGTAAATGGAGAAGCAGCTTCCTTTCCAAACTCTTGGTCTTGCGACATGCTTGTGACAATAAACACTGCTTTTCTTCTGATGCTTTATCTCCTCAATTAGCAATCCCTGTCAAAGTGTATTTTGTGTAAGTAATGCTACTGTTTAACAAAAGTGCAAGGGACTTTTTGTGGATGAGAGAACACTGGCTAGAACCTTTGTAAAGAACTGTACTGTAGGACTTTGGCCAACTTGCAAATGTTCCATTTATTTGGCTAGAAGTGTGAGTTTGGGAATAGTGGTCACCAACTGCTGAAACAGACTTCAGGATGAAATAAAGAGTGTAATACCTTGCAAGGGACCCTTGCAACGTGGTGGAGGACCTTTCTTATGCAGGATCTCAAATATTTCTTCTCCGTGCTATCAAATATAGGCTATTCCAGTGGACTTCCTTCTCCTGGGTTCTAGGGCTGAAATGATCCTTAAGGATCAGCTTTTTGCTTGATCTGTTTCCTTTTAAAGTCTGTTCTGTACCTGATTCTGGACCCATGTGCAATCTGGAGCCCCCTTGGCAAGTGGGTAGCTGGTGTACTTCTTGCCTCTGTATTTGGGGGTTGAACCAGGCAAAGGAGAGAAGGAAAGTGTGCAGGTAAGATCTGAGTGTTGTGATGGAACCTCTAGGCAGTTCCTGGGTAGAAAAGGCTGTGGGGCTGCTTGTGTTCATGGTTGGCTTGGCTGCAGAGGCCAGAGCTGAGCAAGATTAAAATGCCACAGAAGTGGTTTTTGCTGCTTATCTATATCTGTGGTGTGTCAGTCTGAGGACTGTCCTCCATGTTGTTAAGGGTAGAGCCAAATGGAAAGGAAATGATAAAATGTTTCTTTTGAGTTGACAAATTTCTGTCAACCTGCAGCCTTTGTAGATTAATTGTTAAGAAGTGAGTTTGAGTCCCCTTCTGGGACACGCTTTATCTGGTTTTGGATCAAGAACAACATTGGTCTCATTCCGCTCAGAATCCTGGCAGACCCAAGGGTATTGAACCAGGGGCTCTCACAGAAATGAGAGTTGCTGCTCAAGGGAAATACTGCTGCA